AAAAAAAATTTAGTTTAAGATGTTAGGGTATTAAAACAACTTCAGCATTTTTACAATAATGCTTTTCATGATAGATTTCTTGACCTTTATATCGATTATTGTATTTCATCTTGACATTTGAAGAGTTGCGCCTAAGTTACATCTTACTGAAAAGGTGCATAATAGATAAATGTTGATGACATCCAGATGAAGGGACTTGGTCAATCAGATACTGTTTCAATTCTCAAGTCAACTCTTCAAATAGTAGAATTTCTTACCGCAAGTAAGCTGCCTGGTTTTGGGAGAAGTGCTAGTTAGTGGGTAGACATGTCTGCTTCTCACTCGATGCTTACCTGTCTGATTAACTTGATGAATGACCTGATATTTGGTTGAAGCAACCAGGGTGGTAGGTTAAGTAATGAACCACAAGGTGAAGAAGGAAATGTTTTAGGTCAACTTTACCTCCATGTTAACTTTTTGGAGTAATCTCTTTCACTCTGCTAGCCATTTGCTCAAATTCTTTTGACTGATGCCAGTTGCTGTTAATCGGTTTCTGAAAGGAACTTTTGGTTATCTGCAATTTTACTACAGTGAATTTGAAGAGCTGGAAGCAGTTCCAACCATGGCTGTAATTGATGGTCCTCTAGAGCCATCGTCATCTACTGCCTCAAATGCTCCGCATCTCCCTGAGGAAAATGCCTTTTTGAACTTCTTCAGTGTATGCTTTTTTATTCTCCCTTCTCTTTGCTCTTCTTCCAATATCTCGTGTCTGTTGTGCAAGATATCTTACTGAGGAATATCTTTTCCATGTGTCGGTGCCTTTTGATATTGTTATTATTCCTTTGGTTTCTGTTGATGATACTGATATATTGTCTCTTTTCTCTTTTCGTCTTCTTGAGCCGAGGGTCTTTCGGAAACAACCTCTCTACTCCCTCGGGGTAGGGGTAAGGTCTGCGTACACTCTACCCTCCCCAGACCCCACTAGTGGGATTTTACTGGGTCGTCGTTGTTATTGTGTCGGTGCCTTTTGAAGATCTTCAATTACTCTTGTTAGGCATTTGTTTTCAGATCTTTAGTTTTGTGTAGAACAACTTTTCTTTAGTATTAGTGGGGTATATATAATATGCATTCAATATGTTAGTCGAACACGTGATGGCTACTCTTGTGCATTTTCAAGCTAAACCTGTTATTTCTACTTGACCCCAATATACAAGGTATATAGGTACTTGGAAGCTGCATGTTTGTGTTTAAAAATTAAAGCACCCAAGGGTGTAGCTTAGTAGTCAATGAAGTTGGTGGAGAACCATGAGGTCTCAGGTCAAATCCCAGTGGAGACAAAAATACTAGGTTATTTCTTCCCATCTGTCTAAGCCATGGTGGACAGAGCTACTCGGTACCTGTGCTGTGGGAGGTAGCAGGTATTCGCTGGAATTAGTTGAGTGCGAGCAAGCTGGCCGAACACCTCCGTTATTTTAAAAAATATATATACAAGGGTAGAACACTGTTTACACTCTAGGTAATGACTTGGATGAAGTCTCAAGGAGTACTAGGACTTGAACACAGGCCATGATAGGGTCAAGTAAAAAAGAAGAAATGGTCCAAGCTTGCTCTGTGCAGGAATTTCCTTAAAAATATTAATTAGAAATCCAGCCACCAGTTAATGATGTATGTTGGTAAGGGAAAAAACCATAAAGTACATAATAAATACTTCTTAAAAGAGAACTAGCTGGAAATTTTGATTTTTACTATGTTGTCTCATCTTGATTAAATTTGTGCTTTTCTTTTGCAGAATGCTATGACAATTGGGAATGCTCCGAGTACTACAGTTCCAGGGCAGCTATACCACTCATCTTCACCGGTCCTGCCTCCTCCTCGTCCTCCTGCTGCTGTTCCTCCCTCTTCAGCACCTGCCCTGATTCAATCTCCGCCTCTTTCAACTTCTTCCCTTTTGAGGCCCCTCCTTGATGCATCTGAATCAGACAGCAGTGCTAAATGGTCTTCAAATCTTGTGAAGCCATCATCATTTTTTGGTCCTCCAACTGCCTCTTCTCCGCTGATGCCTGCCGTTTCTTCATCTGTGCCCACTGCTCCTCCACTTCTTCCGCTTGGGAATCTCCAACGCCCTTATGGAGCTCCTTTGCTTCAACCATTTCCTCCGCCGACTCCTCCTCCATCTCTCACTCCTGCTTCTGCTCCTACCCCAAACTATGGACCTGTTGTTAGCAGAGACAAAGTGCGGGAAGCACTTCTAATGCTTGTTCAGGTATGTTTTCCTGAATTCCTTGGTTAGTTTGCTATGTTAAACATTCTTGAAGACATTAAGTTTTTTTTCCCCACCCGCTGTCCAGTACCCAGCTTGGGGCCCCTTCGCCGGAAAGTCCCACCTTTGGGAGGTTTTTTTTTTGGTGGGGTTGGGGGGTTAAAAGCGTTCTCTACTAAAATGATACAAATTAAAATACATGGAAGCAAGAAATTGATAAACAATCAAATAATAAGATAAGATAGCAAGGATAGATCTAGAAATAGAAAAGGAGGGGGAAGAGACTTAGAAAAAGAAGGGATAAACTAACAATTTAACTATAATTTAATTACTAGAATAAATCCATGGGAGAAGAGAGGTGAACTCATACATGGAAATCCACACATTGGATTAATCCAAGAGAGGTTCAAAGAGAGAAACTAGGGAACAATCCCCAAAACCTTACCCAACAAGGTAATTCTTCTATTATCCAAAATCCAGCTCTCTACAAATGAACTCATCCTAATCTAGATCTAGATAAGGTAGAGAAAGACATAAGTACCCCTTAATGGGCCTAACTATTATGCCTTAAAGGGAAAACTTGAAGCCCAAGTATTTCAATTGTCGCAAGCATGGCCTAGGTCTACATGCTTGCGTACGTGGCTCACGTGTACGGTGGTCGCTGGACCGGTTCGTATCAAAAGGCGACTCCATTTTCAAGGGTCGAACGTGAGACCTCTGGTTAAGGATAAAGGGGTACTTACCACCCCACCACAACCTCACCATAACTTTTGAAGATGAACACATTCAACTTTTAGTAATCTACAGTTTATTACTTTTGTCCTTGTAATGAGAGATTGGTATCGCAAGGTTAAGCGCTCTGCTGAGTGGGTATACTAAAGGAAAACAATCGTTGTAACTTGCATAGCTATATGTGGAACAAACCACATTGTGAATGTCAGTAAGAATACTCAGCAATCACTTTTAGGACTTGGTTTTTGTAGCTTCTCTCGTTTCCTCTCATTCTACATGTCATAAGCTTTCATCTGGAGGCATATCTGGATGCCATTCCACTGAGAAGGATGATGACATTTAAGCAGTGTAGGATGTCTATATTTATACCTTTATGTGTGTGTGTGTGTGTGTGTGTGTGTGTGTGTGTGTGTGTGTGTGTGTATATATATATATATATGAACCTGTTAGCATCTGGTTGCTCTTGCATTGGACATTTGACTAGCTAATTGGAAATTTACACCACATAACACTAAAGTGTTGATTGGTTACATATTTTTTAAACTGTTTATTCACGAAAAAGGATATGTATGACGTGACAGTCACAAGTAGTGGTGGCAAAATGGATAGAAAAAATAGTTAGCTATCCATATTATACACTAAAAAATTGTGTTGGATAATGAACTTTTTAAAAATGGGTCAAATATGGATAAGAACCATATTATCTACTTAAAAAATGGATAACTAATGGTTTTAACTTTTACATTTGTAAAAACTCAAACTGGGGGTTTCTCAAGTTTGGGAGATTAGGAATTCTCCCAAAAGTGATCATATTCAAAAAGCCATGGATAATATGGATATCCATATTATCCGCCGGTTAACCCATTTTCTATCTGTATTAAATATAGGTCGGGTCGGTAATTCAACCATTTTTGCATTACCCGTTTTGACATGTCCATATCCGACTCGCCCTGCCCGTTTGCCACCCCTAGATCACAAGTGTGAGAACAATCGGAGGAGATACAAAGGAGTTCACCATAATTGTGACTTTACGTTTTGGATCTTCATTGAGCCTGGTTTTCTTTACCAAAGTATGGATTAGGTAACTACAAAATGGGGTTTGATGGTGCATATTATTCGTTGATGATATCATGTTAATTGAGGAAACCAGCGAGGGGGTAAACTAAAACCTGGTACTAGGAGAGGCACTCTAGAGAATGAGGGATTTATCATAAATAGAAGTAAGGTAAATAATAATATTGGAAATTTAGTCTTCACAAGAAGAACAATAACTGAAGTCACATTGAAGGGGTCTGTGTTGACTAAATGCAGAAATTTCAGTTCCCTAGGCTCCGTCTTCCAAGAGAATGACATGAAAGATGGAGAAGTGATACAGGAGCTTTATGTGTGTAGAATGTCTCTGAGTACAGCAATGTTATGTATGAATGAATATGGGCTTCTTCACTGGATAAGTGTCGTATAAATGTAGATGTTAAGATGGATGTGCGTCATACAAAATTGGACAAGATTAGAAATAATCACATCAAGAAGAGCTGAAGAGGGTGCAAGTAGCACAAACATATGATAATAGGAGAGGAAGTTGTCTGGAATAATTTGCATGGCTGCATAGACCTTCAAACGCATTTAGTGAGTACCAAGTAGTACAAACATAAGATAGTTGGTATTTTGTATAATAGTTTGTGCATTTTGCTTTAAGGAAATCAAAAGATAGATGACCTTGTGTTTCTTTATGAAACTCCTTATTCCACTATCAAGATTTTCCATATCATATGTATTTATTTGTGAATTCCTCCTCATCAGATTTTTCCCTATTATATATGGTCCTATTTTATTGGTACTGTTAAAGCATGTTTGCATTTCTGTAATAGGTTAATACTTGCTTACAGCGGGATTAACTCTCAATTCAGATGCTTTGAAAAGCCTGTTAAAATTGATTCCAGGATTCTTGATACGAGAAAATGAATATCAATCTGTAAAAATGTCAAGTTCCTTTCTGCATGAAATCATTGGTCAACTAGCAGTTTTTAGGTACTAGGTCTGAAACGATTCACTTTGTGGCTGGTGAAATAATAATATTACTGACATGGCGCTACATATCAGCATGATATCGTTGTCTTTGTCCTTTACCACTCCAATAGGGAGGGAGGGAGGAAAGATTGGTCAACATTCAAGAAAGAAAATAGTGTCAATAATACAGGAATGAACAGAATTGAATAAAAAGCATCTTTCATAAAAGCAATCTATGTGCTTGCTTGTGGACCCAAACAGTAGCAAAATATAATGGCTAAAGCTTTCTAACTGCTGTGCAATTTGATAGTGACAGTCCATTGATAATCCTTAAAACCATAGAGGAAACCATAAATTTGTTGGCTTTTAAGAAGAATGTCTAATTAGCTCCTTGTGCTCTACCAAAACCACAGAATTTTGCAGGGGAACAGATAAAAGCTCGGCTGTAAAATACAAGCATGCTGAACAAAATATATAGTTCTAAGAATTTGAGATGCAGGAACAATGAAAAGGTTCTGAATTCAGTTATTGTGAACTAGTGAGCGACTCCTCTAGTAGTTGAGGGGCTATTGTAGTAGCGTTCTAATCTCATGGGTTATTCTATTCTTGATAGAGTTGCTGGTAATGTTTATGTCTTTTTTTTTTTATTTTCCTATTCCAATTATTCGTGTGCTTATTCTTTCCTGTTACAAGCCTTGATTTGATATGCTCTCTTCTGGTCTTTTCATGCCTTTATTTCCATAACAGGACGACCAATTCATTGACATGGTATATCGGGCAGTGCTAAATGCTCATCATTCATAATATGAAGAGGAACTCTTCTAATCTGTCTAATGAAATTTCAATACATCGTGTTTACTGGAGCTGAAAGAGGATCAAGTGGTCAAGTGTATAGGGGGGTTCCTTCTGTTTATGGTGTCCGTGTGAGACCCGCTATGTATAGTTATAGTTATAGTTTTTTTTTTTTTTTTTTTTTTTTTTTTTTGGAGTTTAACCCCTCTGATATATAGTTGCTTTCGTTTTGTGGGTTTTACCAGTCTGGACACTCCAATTTTGTTCTTTGTACTATTAGCGAGAATCATGTGAACTGTGTATGTGTTGCCAGCCTTGGCCTGTGCAAACAATTCTTATGATGATCTTAGCCTGGTCCGGTTCAGTACAAAAAAATTAAGAAAACTAAAGACAACCTAATTGGTACTTGGAGAAAGTTTTCTTTACGAGTATAAAATCTTATTCTTTAACATCTATATATATAAGTGGATGCGTAATATATTGTATCATCCAGAACATGTGTTTGATTTCAATGATTGTTACGCTTGAGATATGTCAAATCACTTGGTCCAATATTATAATATTTGGTTTTATCATCACAGGAAGTTTTTATCATCACAGGAAGTTAAAGCAATTAACATAACATGATTATAAATTAAAATATTTACAAATCTCGACTTTAATTATATAAAATGAAATATTTTTAAGAGAAAAGTTATGATGTAGGCGTGGGCGTTTTTACATATGTCTCGGCGAGGCGTAAGTCTCATAGGTATTTAATTTTTAATATTTTATATAATAATATAATGACAGTAAATATTTTTAAATAGGTAAAATTGAAGAAAATTATAAATAAGTGAAATATATTTATAGATATACTCCATCCCCACTAAAACTAGTCAAATTAATTCATTATATGCTACTTACAAGCACAAGTAGCTTGAGAGTTTTCTTTGTATTTGAAAAAAAAATAAAAATTAATTGTACGTTGCTTTTAGCAGATAGTAACAAACTAGCGGACAAGATAAAGAATTGAGTAACACTATAAATTAGGGCTTCTAGCAATAAAAAAAGGTCTTGACCTTTAATTTGATATTCAAGTTCCTTTTTTAAACTTTTGAGTAATTACCAGCTGACTTTTGAGATTTTGGGTATTATATTAAGGACTTATTCAACATTTATTTTTTAATTTTAAAAAGTCTCTTGGGCTTATGCCTCACTCCAAAAATGCGCCTCAACGCCTGGTATACGCCCGAATTGCTGGGAGTACGCCTCTTGAGACTTTCGCCCCCACTATCGTCTTAGGATAGTTTTGGTGCACCTCGCACCAGGGCTCGCCCCGAAAATACCTTTTAAATTGATGTATACATGAATATTTTATTTAAAATAATCTCCTATATTTACAAAATCAGCGCTATTAACATTATCAGAATGTAACGAGAGATGTTAAGCAAAAGATGATTATATGAGCTAGTCATAGTTTAAAGGATTTTTGTCATACATGATTTTCTAATACACATTTTTTATTTCATCTTAAATATGGAGTAAAATAATAGGATAGTTATATAATACTAACTGATGTCGGAGTTATTAATATGAGAATGAAAAATTGAAAAAAAGAGGAATTTCCCAATAAGAAGTAAGTAGAGCCCATTATCCAAAATACAGACCAGTTTATCCATAAAAATCCACATGGCAATAAGGCATTGATCAACAGAACATCTATGAATTTTATGAAAGAGACAACCCTACTTGTCACCACATATTTCCCAAATATCTATACTGTCCACTTATAAAATCCTCGATTATTTTCCTCCACTCTCTATTCCTAGTGACCCCTCTTGACACTAACTGAATTAATACTATTCAGAGAAAAGGAAATTAAACAAAAATGGCAGCAACAATGTCCACTGCATCAACTGTTCTAGGCTTAGTTAGTTCATCTCTTTCTTCTCCAAAGAAGGTTTGCCTCAGCTCAGGTATAGATTTTTTTGTTCCATCACGTTAAGTTGATTTACAATAATTTGTAACAAGCCTGATACAGTAACCTGAAAAAAAGTAATAACATTCTATAGCCGGTAAAATTGAACTTATGGTGTAAATATTTTAGTCTTAAATTCTTTGTAAAAGAGTTTAAGTTCTGTATACTGTCAATAACGTGTGCTTTTAAAATAAATAAATAAAATCTCTTCAATTTTTTTCTTTTTAGGCTTCTTGAAATCACCAGTGACAGCAAGAAACCCTTTAAGGGTAGCACAAGCTTCAGGAGGCAAATTTACTTGGTAAATGACTTGATAAAGATCCATACAATTGCAATGGTTGATATATTTCCATTTTCTTTTACCTATTTATAGATGATTGTTTTTACCACATGATGTTTTGAAGTTTTGAAAGAGACTGGCTGAGGAGAGATTTGAATGTGATTGGATTTGGTTTGATTGGATGGTTGGCTCCTTCAAGCATTCCAGTAATCAATGGCAAGAGTTTGAGTGGCCTTTTCTTTGATAGTATTGGCACTGAACTCTCTCATTTCCCCACTGGACCTGCTCTCACTTCTCAGTTCTGGTATACTCTCAACACATTTAATTTCTGCCATGTACACAATAATTGAGTTTTCCAAAAGTATGTAAATTATATANGTAAAAATAAATTCCGACAAAGTGTGTTCAATATATGTTATGTACTTCTAAAACCTAATATTTTACCTATATACGCTGTGTAATTTCCGACAAAGGGTGGTCAATTGATCACCCTAACCAAAGTGTAGCTTCGCCCCCTGATTGACGGTGTACAATAATTTATATATAGTAGGTTAGTTACCGAGGTGATGAATTACTATTATCATAGAGATTTACATATAATTATCTTATAAGTTACTTAATAATTGTGTGTATATATATATATCTTACGTTGTCGATAGAACTTAAACTCTTGAGAAAACCAATTTTCGATTTAGAACTACTGTGTTCTTCACGCATCTCAGGTTGCACTGGTTTTTGTAATAGTCCATACTTAAAACTTTTTCTAGAAAAGTTTGCATATAATTTGATATTTTTGAAGAAAATCGGGGAAGATAGTAAAAGTTCATTTTATAGTTCAAGAAATTTGTTGCAATTTTTAAATTGGATATGTGTTGTGGACAGGCTATGGTTGGTCTGCTGGCATTTGGGCTTGTTCATCTGCCTAACTTTTGGACAAATTGGATTCAAGGGACGGACTGAGGACTATTTCTCAAAGTAGAATATTTCCTTCTGAAAATTTGTGTATAAAAAAGAAATACGCTATTTCAGTTCCTTAGTTTTGGTATTTTCCCTTCATTTCAGCATGTTATGAGCGTGAAATACCTTCTCCTTTGCAAGTTTTTCAATTTTTGCGTTTATTGGTCCAAGTATAACATATGATATTGTGTTATTAAACTGCATCGGTTGTCCGCGTGTATAACTTATATTCCTTTTTTTTAAAAAAAATTGTTAGCTCTTGATGACCTTAAGTTAACATTCCTATTGAAACGAAGCATTAGAGGTCTCAGGCTGATTATAATCAGGTAAAAATTTACTCGTAGCTGGTATTTACGTCAACTCAATGAATACATGATACGTGTCTTTTTGGTTAATGATTTAGTCAATGCTTTGCAAGCTGTTGAGCAAAGCAGGGCAATTAGAGATGAAAAATCAACCGAAGAGGCCTTTATATTGCAAAAGATACCAAGAGAATCAACCAGAAAAGAAATTTTTCTACCTTGCAGTATATGCAAGAAAAACAATCATGCTGAGACCGTCGGACAAATGATATATGCATGAAAAAAAATCATGCTGAGAAGAATTGAGAAAAAATATTACAGATTTAAAAAAAAAAAAGAATCAAAGCGAACATTGCACAAGAGAAAGAAGTTTTTCTTTAAAAATTGGAGAAAAGTGGGCAATAAAAAGTTAGAAGTCGGAGAGATAGTGCTTCAACAATTGGAAAGTTGCACGGCAATTGAAAAGTTGGAGAGAAAGTGCTCTAATAAGCGAAAGTTGAAGGGAAAGTGCTTGAAAAATTGGAAGGTCGGAGAGAAAGTGTTTCATGTCTCGATCCAAAATCCATTAAAGGTTGTGATGGCGTCGGACACCGCTGTCAGACAAGCCAAAAATAAATACTTAATTTGGTTCTCATTTTAATATTTTTGAAGTCATATTTTCCTTCAATTAAATAGTAAAAGATGGAATTTACAGTGTAAATAATAATATTTTTAACAATTTCAATACAGAACAACCCATAATCACCCCAAAATCTGGTGTCACAAGTGCATGAGCATCAACTAGGAATGTAAAATAAAATACACTATCTGTCCGAAATACAAATTTGGACAGAAAAAATATAAATACTCTGAAGGAGATTCTGCCAGCTGCGGGTCTTAGGAATGTAGCTCACGTAAGTCCCCGCATGAATACACGCCTCTACTCTCACAAGGCCACTAGTCACATATGTACCTGCACAAAAATATGCAGCAAGTGTAGTATGAGTACGTAATCAACGTGTACCCAGTAAGTATCTAGTCTAACCCCGGAGGAGTAGTGACGAGGGGTCGACATCGACACTCATTAGTAGTCCCATAATATCAGGTACAGTAAAGAGGTAAGTAAATATGAGGTAGAGTAAATAAATGAGATAAACAAGATACAAATCCCCCTATTTACGAGGAACTCAAGTTCTCCATTCGAAATTCCCTCCTTAACCGGAGCATATATATAGATATAGTGGATCTTATCACATGAATTGTCATAACTCAAATCGGGAAAACTCACAGAATCACCGACTTCTTGCCAAATATTACGCATGATTCCATGAGGATATGATATAGGAAATGCCAAGGTGTACGGCCCGATCCAACATAAATATTTAAACTGTGCACTGCCGAGGGTCGAACGACACGAACCATAGATGCATCTATTAAACTGCCGAGGTGAACGGCCCGCTCCCATGAGAGTGTGGTACATAAATCCTGCCGAGGCGATCGACCCGATCCCATAAGAGTGAAATACATAATCCTGCCGAGGCGAACGACCCGATCCCATTAGAACAAGAAGCTTTGACGGGTCCTTGACCCCACTCACGAATAAACGTGTGAGTTGAAATTTCTTTAACAAAAACCTTTCAATGAAGTATATATATATATATATATCACGGAAACATGCCATAGGAGGAGTAAAGTTATTCGGTGACTAATCGTGAAATCGTAAAGTCTCTACAATAGCAAGTCTAGTCTCAAGTAGAAATGTAAAATAAGGAATTAAACAAGCAAGGATAATCCCTAGAACCTAAGTCTACCCGGACAATAATATAAATCTAACTACGTACGGAGTCTCGTCACCTCGTGCATACGT